AGCGACTATCAGGAATGTGATCACATACACGTTGTAAAACTCGATGAAGCGATACAATGTTTGCCCCAGACAGGATCACACCGGGGTGTGAACTGACCGACACGTTTGTTTTCCCCGAACATCGCACTCACACCTGAGCTATCCCCCTAAACTTACATCACTCGCTGGGTGGGTAGGGCCTACACGTTCGCTCCAGGCGGGATCACATTGAACTGTGAACTCTTCCTCGACCATTAGCACCTGTCTCTACTCCCGAATTTGCGAGACAGACTGAATTTTAATTGGTGTGTTCACAACGTAATGGTGTGTAACGACAAAGGCGGTTTGGGGGGGGGGGGGGGCTCAGTCAGAGATGGAAAGCTGTAAATTTATGACAGGTAAAGGGGAGGGGTATCTGGAAAAGCGTAGATCTTGAGACTCATGATAGGATAATAAGTGAAAAAGGCTCGCCTCATGCCCCTATGCACTGCGATTGGTCATCAAAGTTAACCACTCTTCGCTCGCCATATGCCATAAACCCACCAAGGGGGCACGCCAGTTCATCTTAGAGTGGAGGGAGACCATTTTATCGATTGTGAGCCTTAACATGAGTCGCCAAAGATTCTTCCCTGGGTTCATCTGTTAAGATCCCGGTTCGCCTAAGATCCCGCATTTCCTTGCTCCCGAGCACCGGGATCTTAGGCGGAGACTACTGTATATATATAAACACAAACACACACACACACACTTCCCTCACATGGTTGAGGGCGCGAAACACAAGTTGGTTGCATTCCCAACAATTCCCAGCACGGCTTGGTGTTGATCAATGAACAGATTAAATTAATGTTTAAGAATTTCAGAGTAAAAATCTTTATCTTCAATTTACGGCAATTTATATTACAAGGAGACAGAAAAACAACGAGCATAAACAATAAACAACTTAAGTACAAATATACACTTATATAGGAGTTGATGAATTATTACAAAGATACGTGGGACAGAGACAAGGTCTGGAAATAGCTTAAACTGTAGAAAGACGAATATATTTGAATTTGGATGGGGGCTGTACAGTATTTTTGTCAGGGGGACTGTAACCGTTCGATGAAATCGTCAATCCAATTGTATCCATATCGTAAAAAGTGCGTGCGGCTCTGATAGTTTTCCCGCCGAAATGGCATGGCCGTTGCAGCAACCAGTACAAGTTTCAGTTTGAAATCGGGAGAAACGTGGTATGCTTCCCCCCATGGTCTTTCCTCAGGAAATCAGTAGGCCCGCGGCGCAGTATAGCAGTTGGGACTTGTATAACTACCCACATCTTTACAGAATACGACGATCATAAAACTCTTTTCCCTGTTCTTGTGAGATATATAGGCCAGACTGCAACCCAACTGACGGTCATCGCATATTTATGTTGCGCACTAGACTAAGTCAAGCAGTTCGAAATGTTTGCTTGTTCTTTTGTTTGTTCGCTTGTTCGGTTGGGTAGTTTTGTGGGGTCGTTGGTTTGTTGCTTGTAGTTGTTGTTGGGTTTTGTTGTTTTTATTTGGGGGGGGGGGGGGGGTGTTAAACTTCTATTTCAGTCATAGTCATCTATCTAAGAAATGTGTCTTTAAATGGGCATAAAAGATGTTGAGCCCCCCTCCCCCTTAAAAAAAAAGATCTTAAAATTGCCCACAAGGTGGGAAAATATCAGTTTCTTCAACTTCATCATTTTGACGATGCCACACTTATTAATTGAATAATAATTATTATTCCTTCTTGCTGAGAACTAACACAACTGTCAAAATCTCACTGTGTTTGAAATGATTATTCCACAGCAAAAAGAGACACAGGCCTAAGAAGAGAAACGACAGAATGGCGGCTGATGATGATGAGTCCATTCAGCTCACTGGAAACACTTGTGTGGACTGCATCAACGTGTTCACGTGTTTCGTATGCGAGCGCTGCGTGCTTTTTCTTCAATATTGCTGCTGCTGCGGATACAGGGACGAAAGGTAAAAGCCTACCATTGATTGGGAAACATTTCTTCTTACTGCCACTGGACATCGAGATGGCTATGGGAAACAAGAGTTACGTGGTCAAAATTCACACTCTTCCAGACTGCTTTCAAGTGACAAAGCCAGTAACTACGCAAACGATTGGTGACATCCCCCTTTGTCACTATTTTGAGTGTCGTGACCTGCAGGACACGTCCAGAAAACTTACCCAACAACAGCATTATGTATGATATTTTCAGTGACATAGTGTAATGATGATATCAATACGTCTAGAAAGCACACAGCAAAATCAGCGGACACGAAAATGTTTTCGCGATATATGAATTTCAATGTTACATATTTTAAATACCAAGGACATAGTGTATAAGAAAAAAATTGGGACCTGAAAACCTGTTCATTAAGTGCCTGTTTCACAATGTATACATGTTCACTATATATATATATATATATATATATATATATATATATATATATATATATATATATATATATATATATATGCATAAAAGACAGAACATGCTTGG